GCAAACACACTCATATAGCCTTACCAGACGCGCGTTCATTCCTCTCCACGGCGCCGCGGAATGTTCTTCACCATATATAAATTGTAATGTGATTATCATAGATTGATATAATCCGAGACGCGTGTGCCGTATCCATTCCGTGAGGGAATCTCGCCTTCAACACATTCAAAAAAACTACAGAGACCAGAAAACCCCCACAGGCACAGTCCCGGATGCAAGACCCCCCTCTCCCCCTAGTGACGCAGAGGTGTCAAATTTCATGGCTCTGAAATGGAGTTGAATTTCAACAGACTGTAATCTGACCAATTGCAGTCCACAAGCGACCACAGAGCTCTAGAACATCAGACGCACTGGTTGTGCGCGCCTATGATATGAAGAGCGCCTGTTTCCAGACGAGCGTCTATTTCTGAACCTGGACAAAACGCTATATATCTCACCGATGGAAGCATGCAGAAACGTGAAAATGGTCTTGTTTGAAAGAAGAGATCCTAATCTAAAAGATAATATAGAGTATATAGATATTTGGCTGTTTGCGGCTGACTGAAGCAGTGCTACGAGTATAAATGTAAATTCGCTCAGATGTGACCAAATTTTACATCACGATTCTATCGAAGATAATTCGATCTGTGATTGTCACACAATGAAATAATCTACATCGTCAAATTCCTGAGAATGAGAGCTTTCTTGTGATATATGACTTGACTTTTTTGTGAAAAATATATAAAATACACATTCTTCGTAAAAATTATTCGCAATGGTTAGGCGGAAATTCGTGTGTGGGACGAATACATTTCTAAGCTTAATTTTACTGCTTTATGAATATAAAAACCTTCTTTGTAAAGAAGACACTCCAAGCTTTCACATGAACCCATATATGGGCTGATACCATATAAGGAAGGCTATGTAAATGAAGCATAAACATTTTTAGTGATTTTGGACCCGTATCCGGGTCCGCAGAGTTTAACTTAAGCAGCTTTCCATTTCCGATTTCATGTTGCGCGTGCTGAAGCTCCTCCGCACGAGCTCGATCTCGCTTCTGAATTGCGAAAAGCAAAAATGCATCATAGAAATTTTTTTTAATATTATTGCATATAAAAACAGCTGGCGACTCTGGTGAGATAGAATTTGCAAGATAATGTATCTATTGCAATAATAAATGCATGTGTGTTTTCTTAATTTCTCCAGTACCGATAGCAGAACCGTTAACGTCAGAGTTTATCGATATTCCGATCTTTCATAATTTAGCCCCGGGACCGATTAAATACCGGGTTTCGGTACCCATCCCTAAAAATGACCACAGCTGATCACAGTTGAAAGCCAAATGGCTTTGCGTGCCATTGAGAAGCTGATTAGCTACACCTGATTGTTTACCTGTTTACAAGTCATTTTTAGGAGGGGGTGATCCTTTTTCCAACTGTTTATTCTGTTTATTTATTTATTTATTTTTCTGACATGTTGGTGTTTATCTTTCACTTGGATGTTATAAGCTGCACTGAGTAAATTCAGCTGGATAAATAAATAAACAAAAAACGGCGGGCCCCACAACCACCAAAGCCTGTGGGCCCAGCTCGTCCTCCTCCTCCGGTGAGAGCTCTCAGGCCGCTGCCACAACGCCAGGGCCCAAACCCTCCATCTGCTGTAGGTGAACCAAAAACAACTGATTACATCTCTCAGTGATATGTGTCGGGTCCCCGCTATAATAGCAGCAACATTCACAAACGTTTACAGAACAAGCGGGAACCCAGTGTGCCTGTAGTTTTCTCTATTTCTGTTTTATCATGTGATAGAAAGTCTAAGGCCTTCTCAAGCTGTACGGCTGACTCATCTGACTCAGCCTGTTATGCATCAAACTAATATTGCTGTTGAGACAAAATGCAATGCCATCAAGTTAGCATTTTTAAACATTCACTCACTAAAAAATAAATCATTTCTAATCAATGACTTAATAACCACAAACAACCTGGATTTTATGTTTCTAAATGAAACATGGCTAGAAGACAGCTGCAGTGCAACGGTCCTCAATGAAACAGCCCCTCCTAACTTTACTTTCATGAGTGTTTGCAGGACTGTTAGGAGAGGTGGAGGTGTAGCTGCTCTATTTAAAGATGTCTATCAATGCAAGCAAGTGTCATTTGGTCAGTACTTGTCTTTTGAATATCTAGGGATTGTGTCGAAAGATGCTCCACGCATTCTGTTTATCATTATTAAGTGATAATGGCCTCCAAAATACTCTCCAGCCTTTGTTGAAGAGTTCACAGAAATGCTATCAATGATTTCCTCAGAGTTTGACTGTTTTGCTTGGGATTTTAATATGCACATAGATAATACAGAAAACAAAACTACAAAAGAAATTATAACCGTTTTAAACACTTTTGACCTG